AGCATTAGGTCTTCAACCTAAAAGCACAGCATCTGTCCCTACTAACATCTTTCTAAGTGAATGATGATTAAAGTTTTCTGCATAGAGAGCTTTTGCACATTTTGTTAGATTTATTCATCAGTTTTTTATATTTGTCAATGGCATTGAAAATGGTAACTTTAAGAAAAATTTTTAGTTTCTATCTATTGTTAATTACAGAAATGCTTTTTGATTTCTGTTTATTGAGCCTGTATCCACCAAATTCACCTATCAATACCAATATACTTTGTGAATCCTTTGGGAATTTCTAAATATACATATAACTTATAAACAATGACAGTTTATTTCTTACATTCCAGTAATTATTATTTTATTTATTTTTATTTTTCATTCCCCTCGATAAGAGAATATTAGTCATATCTAGTCAACGTGGCTCAGTGAGTGAGTGTTGACCTGTGAACCAGGAGGTCACAGTTCGATTCCCAGTCAGGTCACATGTCTGGGTTGAGGGCTCAATCCAGCAATGGAGGGCATGCAGGAGGCAGCCGATCAATGATCTCTCACATTATCAATGTTTCTCTCTCTCTCTCTCTCTCTCTCTCTCTCTCTCTCTCTCTCTCTCTCTCTTCCTCTCTGAAATCAATAAAATATATTTTTAAAAAGAGAATCCCGGTATGAGTCTGGATATTAGACAACCTGGTCTTGTTCCTGATCTCAAAGGAAACTTTTCCAAAACTTAACCATTGCGGTTTATGTTTCCCGTAGGTTTTTTACAATCTTCATCAGTTAAAAATACTTCTTTATGCTCCTAGTTTATGAACAGGTTTTTATTATGAATGAATGTTGGTTCTATTGCATGCTTTTACTACAATATCCAATTGATACCATTGTTTTTCTCCTTTATTCTGCTAACGTGTCAAATTATACTGATATTTTAATTAATGCCAGCCCTATATTAATGAAATAAACTCACCTCGGTCATAATGCACCCCCTCCTGCATGTGGGAGGATTTGGTTTGCTAACAGAGTTTTTGGGTTTCTGCGCCTGTATTTATAGAAGCAGCGGACTGTGCCTTTTCTTCCTCGCGTGTCTCTGGATTATCGGCATCACTGCCACAGTGCTATGGAGTGCTGCTCTCTGTGTTACTCCCAGTTCTCTGGACGAGTATGGACAGGGCTGGTGCCCTTTGCTCTTTAAATGTCACGTAGAAGACAGCAGGAGGCCCCTGTGCGCGAGGCGCCTTTTATGGAGAAGTTCTTCATTAGAGACATTTCTTCAGCGGCCACGCTCTCAGCCTCGCTCCGGCGTGTCGGTGGTTCAGTTTAGTAAAAAAGCGTGTCACCTCGTTGCTGGCAAAGTCATTCACAGTGTCCTCTTATTGCCTTTTTAGCTGCCATAGAATCTATGTGGATGGTCCCTTTAAATTCCTAATTGTCTCTTCCCTTTTTTCTTGATCCATCCTGCTAGGAATTTCCCTATTTTATGAGGCTTTTGAAATATCAGACCTGTGGTTTGTTAAGAGGAATGTGTTAAAAATGCCTGCCCGAGATTGTGAATGTGTTTATTTCTCCTTGTAGTTTGGAAAATATCGTGTCTTATATATTTTGAGACTGTTTCATTATATGCACACAAATTTAGAACAACTAAGTATCTATTTGGAAAATATTAAGGTAGATCCATATCTCCATTATATATCAGAATAACAAACAAAAAACTGCTTTAAAAATACTGAGCCCTGGCCAATTTGGCTCAGGGGGTAGAGCATCAGCCTGTGAACTGAAGGATTCTGGGTTCGATTCTGGTCAAGGGCACGTACCTGGGTTGCAGGCCATTTGGGGCACATGTAGGAGGCAACCAATCAATGTGTCTCTCTCACATGGATGTTTTTCTCTGACTTTCCCTCTCTCGTCCACTCTCCCTAAAAATCAATGGGAAAATATCCTAGGGTGAGGATTAACAAAAAAGAAAGAAAGGAAGAAAGAAAGGAAGGAAGGAAGGAAGGAAGGAAGGAAGGAAGGAAGGAAGGAAGGAAGGAAGGAAGGAAGGCTTTTAGACTTTCCCCCAAACCTGGAAGCCCTCCAATAAAATATTATTAAATTTGACTATATAAAATGCATTTTTGTATGGCAAAAAACACCATAAGTAAAACTAAAAGACAAATGACAGAGCTGGAAAAAATATTTGCAAATCAGAACACAAAGGATTAATTTCTCTAAAATATAAAAACCTCCTGTAAATTAATAACGACCTAAAAGAAAATGAGCAAAGAGTATTAATAAGCAGTTCAATTGAAAACAAATACAAATGGTGTGAAGCTTTGACTTAGTGCTCAGTCTATGCACTAAAATAAAAATGACGTCTGCACTGAGATGGTTTTTGCCCATCGGTTTGGTATAGATCTTAAAGGTTGGTCTGCATTGGCTTGATGAGTGGGAAGAAAATAGAAACTCAAACGTTGATGGTGAAATTAAAAGTTGTTATAACTTCCATGGAGGGCAACAAACTGTGGCGATATCATCTAAATACGAGCTGTCTCTGAGCCAATGATTCCACACTGAGGAACCACCCACAAACACATGTGCACAAGTGCAGAACGGTGTGGTGAAAACTATTCATCCCAACCACTGTTCGTTATAAAAAACATTAACACAGCCCAAACATCTAGCAATAGGTGACTAGGTAAACTAGTTGTGGCTTATTGGTTTAACCAGACAATGAATGTTATGCAGTCATGAAAAGTGAGGCAAGGATGTGTGTGACATTTAAAAATGTTAAATATATATATATAGTTAGTAAAACTAACCAAGTGCGGAGCAGTGTGTATGCTGTGCTACCACGTGTAAAAGAGGTAAAAGAATATGTACACTTGTCTGGTGTGTTAAAGGCCACATGTATGCTAGAATGTGTACACAAGAATCTCAGAAGACCAGTTTCTGCTCAGGGAAGCCTGGAGGGTAGTGCGGGGAGGAGGATTTTAGGTACCTGCTGTTTTCTACCCTTACAGAACTTACTTCCTGTCAATAAAGAAAGAGCAAGTCACTGGTCTACATGGTCAGCCAGGCTTCTGCATGTCTCCCATATAACATCCCCCTCAGCTTCCACACACCACCCCCCTCAGCTTCCACACACCACCCCCCTCAGCTTCAACACACCACCCCCCTCAGCTTCCACACACCACCTGCCTCAGCTTCTGCAGGAAAAGAATTGGGTGGTAACAAGGCAGGGTAGACCCGGAAGAATCCTTGAGGGTGAATGATTTATCTTTGCATCTGCAGTTTTCCACGTCCTGAAGTCCAATTAGTAAAAAATATGCACCAGGAATACTGTCGATACGAATACAAATCTTTACCTTCCATAACGTCAACTAAACCAGGGACCTTGAACTTTTTTAACATGACCAACAGTACAAAATACATTCTGTACCTGACCCAGTGTATCTACAAACACACATACACAAAGATTTGTTTAAAAAGTTAAACATTTTCTAGTGAGCTGTATAATTTTTTTATTTCTCAAAAATGGTGCTTACTATCCATTTAATTGATTTTATAACCCACCAATGTGTAGCATCAGAAATTTGAAACATACCAAAGTAACAATTATATAATACTAGGGGCCCGGTGCACAAAAATTTGTGCACTCCAGGGGGAAGGGGGGGGTCCCTCAGCCCGGCCTGTGCCCTCTCACAGTCTGGGACCCCTTGGGAGATAACGACCTGCTGGCTTAGGCCTGCTCCCGGGTGGCAGAGGGCAGGCCCAATCCCTAAGTGCAGCCCCTGGTCAGGCTCAGAGCAGGGCCGATTGGGGAGTTGGGGCACCGCCCCGTCATGCACAGAGCAGGGCGGATCGGGAGGTTGCGATGCCACCCTCAGTCACGCTCAGGGTAGGGCCGATTGGGGGGTTGGGGCACCGCCCCCTGTCACACTCAAGGCAGGGTCGATGGGGAGGTTGTGGCGCCACCCCCTGTCACCTGGGTTTCTATTTGGAATGATCCTTAGAGGGAAGATGGATACCACTACTTTATGACGTAGGGACTACACCCAGAGACTCTGCCAAGTGAAGTCACAGATCTGGGTCCCGGGACCGCGGACAGCCTCAAGCACTGCCCTCCTCCTGGCAGGGTCACGGATCTGGGTCCCAAGACCGCAGACAGCCTCAAGCACTGCCGCCTGCCCGGCAGGGTCACAGATCCGGGTCCCAGACCGCAGACAGCCTTGCCTGCTGCCGCCTGCCTTCAGTATGCAAATTAGCCGCCATCTTGTTGCTTCAGGGTGGGGGTCCCCACTGGGGTGCCTGGCCAGTCTGGGTGAGGGGCTGAGGGCCGTTTTCAGGCTGGCGGGCGACTGAAGCTCCAAACCTCTCCTTTTTTTCTTTTTTTTTTATTCTGGCATTTATTTACCTTCTATGGCTGTCACTGGAGCTGAGAGCCGGCTTTCTCTCTGAGGCTCGGCTGCTGAAAGCAGGTTTCTGGCCTTTGTTTTCTGTATTCGAAACAATGTTGCGACTCCAGCTCTGAGATCCTGGCTGACTGACAGGAGGTTTCTGGGGTTTTGTTTATCTTCTATAAATGTTACAATGTTTCCAACTGAAGCTCAGAGGCCGGCAAGGCAGGCGGGGAACGTTGGAGTCCTCTGTCACTGAAGGAAGCAAGCCTCCCTGTTCGCATCAGCTGCCTGGCTGCCGGCCGCCATCTTGGCTGACAGTTAATTTGCATATCTCCCTGATTAGTCAATGGGAAGGGTAGCGGTCGTACGCCAATTACCATGTTTCTCTTTTATTAGTGTAGATAATAATTGATATGTTAATATATTCACATTAAACAAGCCTGTATAATAAAGCCTAATATGCAAATTGTCCCCTCAGGCAGTTTGACCAGGAGTTTGACTGCTCGCTATGACGTGCGCTGACCACCAGGGGGAGGAGAAGGACATGGCGGGCTTTGGCGACACAGTGCTGGCAGTGGCGGCAGTGGAGGTGCTGCCAGCCCCAGTGGGCCCCGAGGAGAGCAGGACCACGGCGTGATGGTGAAGCAGGTGAGTGGGGGGCGCCACGCCAAGCAGGTGCGAGCAGGGGCCTGATTGCCCAGCCAATCACCCTGCAGATGGCGACCAGCAGTGGTGGCAGGGGGTGGGGCCGCCTCCCAGCTCCCAGGTGCTGAGGGAGCCAGGCGGGGGGGCCTGGCCCCAATCCATTGCCCCGCTGGTGGGAAGGTAGAACAGGTGAGGGGGTGGTGCCAGGCCAAGGTTGGGTGCCAGTTGGGGCTGGGGGTCTGCGAGTCTGGGTGCACGAGCTGGGGCCCGATCTCCACAGGCCACCTCAAGGGACTCCACCTGTGCATGAATTTGTGCACTGGGCCTCTAGTATAAACAGGATATCACACAGTTAACAGTGGGAGTGAGGAGGGCGTGGTCTGGGGGACGCTCTAACCCACCAAATCGCCATCGGCACCTGCTTCTCAGTCACCCAATAAACACGCGTCTCTGAGAAATCTGTAAGAACCAAGGAAGCGTCCTGCCATTTGGATGGCTCCTCGGTTGACCAGAAAGATTTTTGGAGCCCAAGCCTGAGCCTTAATCACTAATGTGAGAACGAGCTGCCTCCGCCTGATCATCTCAGAGTTGTCAGGGATTCTGAGCGCTCACCTGTGCATTCATCCCACGGGCGGCAGGTCCGGTGTGTTGTAAGGCAGACCCTGCTGGGTGCTGACAATAATAGAGATTCGAGCCGAATGCTAGGCCAGGCCAGGGCTCCCAGTGGATCAGGTGGCACTGGTACCTGAGACATTTCCAAGTTGTGGGCAAACCTTTGATTTTGTCATAGAAACCTGGGAAGATTCGAGGTGTCCCACCCTTTGGGACATATTAAAAAAAATATAGATTCCGCCCAGCAGTGTCGCTCAGCAGTTGAGCATCATCCCATGCACCAAGAGATGGCTGGTTCAATTCCTGGTCAGGGACAAGCCCGATTTGGGGGCTAGATCCCCCATCATGCAACTGATCGATGTTTCTCTCTCATCAATACTTCTAGCTCTCTCTCCCTCCCCCTCTCTCTAAAATCAATATAATATATTAATAAAATAAAATGTGAGAGTCCATCAGCAGAAGGGACCTGTGGCTACCTCCCCATACCTCCCCCCCCGCCCACTTTGCTAAGAGAACCCTGACTTTGTGATCCAAGGTACCAGTGCCGGCAGTTGGGTCAAAATTTGCTTGGCCAGTGTGACAATTGTGGTTAGGCCTCTCTTGCAGCTAAGAGTGGTCACATGACCACTTCCGACCCACCATACTAAGCTGAGATTGGGGTTGCTGAGAAAGCTTTTGTCTTACTGATAAAGGAAGGGGAAATGCTGATCCCTCCTCACTTCTGCCTTCACATGAACGTAGGGACTTCCTTGTTGCCATGATAATAAGAGCCAAAATGCAAGGCTGGTTGAGCAGAAATACACGAGTGTCTCTGTGTCTGCGGGCCCCAGGGAGATCCCGACTCCAAGGCAGCACGGCCTGAGTTACTCTGTCAGCGCCAAGACCAGCTTTTCCCACAGGACACTCCGACACCAAATGTGTGAGGGTTTTCCCTCACCAGCCAGGCCCCAGCATTGGGTTTCCTACACTTTACGTCAATCCCCACACTATCTGCCTGGCGTCAGCATCACACTCCACAAGCTAATGGCTCAGTCTCGCAAGACTGACCCCACTTTAATCCCCAGCCTCCTGTACTCCCGACGGCCACCTGTACGTCGGGGTCCCCTCAACCCCTCCTTGGGCTGGATAATCTGCTGGAAGTGTTAGGGGCAAAAATAGAATGTTGGGGACTAGCTATGGTTATGGGAAATAGTAATCATGCTCTGTAACCACAATGCCTTGTGCTGGTTAAGGAAAGGACATTCTGCCCTGGCTGGGAGTTGTACGCCCCCAGGACCTTGGAGTCAACCTTGGAATGTGGTCCATTCTCATCCAAGAACTGCCTATTGTAATGGAAAGATTGACAACCTTGTTGCCCAAGCAATGGAGTCCCACCCCAGCCAGCATAGCCTGCTTCCCCGTGCCTGTAACCCCACTTCCCCATGTAATCTTTGTCCTTGTACCCCATATAAGCAGCTGGTTTATGGGTGGGGGTCGCAGAGCAGATCTTTGTGGACAACCTGCTGCTCTCCACTCTGCTGACGGTATTGGAATAAATGCTCATATATGAGTCAACCCTGTCTCTGCTGAATTGGCTCAGGTAGTGGCAGGCAGCGCAGACCCATTGATTGTCCGGTTACAGAATGGCTCACAGGACTCCAGAAGACACTTTACTTACTATGACTGGTTTATTACAAAGGATACAAGTCAGCAACAGCAGAATGAAAGCGATGCCCAAGGCCAGGCACTGGGAGAAGGAGCACTGGGAGTTCGCTTGCCCTCTCCAGGTGCACCAATGCGCTTTCTCACCCAGGACGCTCTCCAGACGCCATCTGCTAGGGTTTTAGTGAAGGCTCCATTATGTAGGTGTGGTCGATTAAATCCCTGGTCCTAGTGATGAGCTCAATCTGCAGCCCCTCACCAGTTTGACAGGTCTTGTTTATAAAGGAGTGGGATGGGAGGCTGGGGGGTGATTTCAGCTCCTCTGCTCATAAATCAGCCTCCATTACAGAGCGTGGGCTTCCTCGTGTTTGCACAGGACGCTGGGGGGGGGGTCACCTTGCCACGGAGGCAGCGAGATGCTGTGTGTAAGTGTGTCACACACCCACCTGCACTTCACTCCTGATCTGTGCAGGCAGGAAGGCAGATCCAGCCAGCATCAGGCCTCAGGGCTCCCTCTCTTTTCTTTGCCCCATTTGGTAAATAATCTCCTGCTTTCAGCTACCTTATAATTTGGGGAAGTGCCATCAAAACAATTAGTTAATCCCAACTAATGTAGAAAGTCAATAATGAGTTAAGAAAGATAGCTGCTAGCAACTTAGATACTTGATGTTCACTTTATAACGTGATGTATTGAAGAGAAACATAAACATTTCCACCACTTTATCATCATTACTTAGTCTATTAAACTAGTTTGTGCTGCCTTGAAATTTGTTGAAATCCCAAGTGCTAATTCAGGAATGTAAAGTTCATTGATTTCAATTTACTTTTTATCTACATCTAAATACAACTAAAGGGAAGAGTTCAGACAATCGGTTGTATAATTGAATTTTGAAAAGATAACCGCATAGAGTTTGGGAGCTGGAAAGGGCCTTAGAGGTTTTTGTAGTCCAACTTCTGGAAACACGAATCCCTTCCCTAGAAACAATTGCCTGGAAATAGTTCACTTTGTATCTGAAGGCCTAGATTCAATGCCATGTTAATTAGAGGAAATAAAAGAAAGAGAAGAAAACCTTCTGTGACGTGAACTCTCCCCGCCTGTTCTTTCTCGGGTGCGTTGAGCTGTCCCCAGCGTCCACCCACCGTTCAGGCAGCGATGCTCCGGCAGCCAGTCCCGGCAGGTACTGACTCACAACCAGCAGCGCCCTGAATGGCTGTTTGCCCGGAGGAGGTGAGGGCTGGGAGCGGTTGAACTGTGGCAGGATGGGTGCCTGCGGGCACCACTGGTTACAGGATGCTGAGAGCAGGGCACCTGGGAGGAGAGGCTCCCTGCAGAGGCCACAGGGAGCAGAGCTGCAGGCACCCCTGGGGAAGATGTGGGGCGTCCTGGGGTGCCAGGCACAGGGGTCTGATCACTGTCCCAGCACCAGCTTCTCACATCCTAAAGCAAAGGGGCGGCACGCGGAGCTGGTTTGAGGAATGCCACCTCACGGAACTGGGCGGAGACAGGGACAGCAGGTCCTGGCGGGTGTCCAGGTGGGAGGCGAAGCTGTCCTGAGCAGTGATGTGCGATTGCCTGTAGACCTCTGTGCTCCTCACCCACGGCTCAGAAGGGTGTGAGTTAGGGGTGCACTCAGGAGCATTCAGCGTCACGGGGCTGGAGGAGAGGAAACAGTTGTTGGCTGAGGAGACAGGCAGCTGGTGATGCCCTGGCTCAGGAAAGAAACAGAGAAGGAGGAATTTCAAGAGGAGGATGGGGGTCAGTCAGCTCAGGTGGCCTTTTGGGTGACACCGAGGAAACTTCCATGTGGTGGGTATCTGTAGCATCTACCAGGACTCCCTCTCTCTCCAGATGCCGCCGGTCCGCACAGCTACGGCCCGATTCCCTGCCTTTGCGGGCTCCCCAGACCTTGCCCACACGATGTCCGGAAGCACCGACTATTGACGATGTCTCTGTTCTCAAAAGAAAATGGCTTCCTTGTTTCTTCTCCAACTCACTTATGCTGCACTCATCGCACCCATCTTCACTTTTGGGACCAACTTCAGCAGTTATATTGGTTAAGATAGCCATGCAGCCGTAATATTGTATCCATAATAACGTAGCTGTTATATTGTACAAGCTAGGCTACATGTATCAGTAAACAGATCGCAATGACTTCAGCAAATTCGGCAATTATTCGATCTCAGAGGACGAGAAATCCAGAGGCAGGCAATCAGGGACCTGTGTCATTTTCAAGGAAATCAGTAGGGACCTAGGCCATTTCTGGTTTCTTCTTCCACCGTTCACAGCAACACCGCTCAGCCTCATGGTCTAAAAACGGTCATTTTACCTCCGGACAGTATGTCTACGTCCCAGGCACTAAATAAGCAAAAAGGGCAAGAGGCACAGTATGCGAAGTCCGTCCGTTTTTAGCACTGAAACAGCTTTCCCACAAGTTCATCCCGAGACATTTATTCCTGGATCTCATTGCCCAGAATTATGGCATGTGGCCATGCTGGGTGCAAGGCAGCCTGGGAGACCCGTCAGCTAGCCGGGGCCTTGCTGTCAAAATGGACCGTGATTTGGAAGAAAGGAAGAAAGTGTGTTGGGGACCTCCAACCAGCTGCGTCTGTCCGTCACATTTCCATCGCAGCTCGTATTCTGTTGCTCTTTTGGATGTCCAAGCAGGCTGAGGGCAGAGAAGGTGAGGTACCTACGGGAAGAGGCAAGCTGAGAACGGGAATCTAACCTGCTCCTCTGGCAGCAACTAACT